ACAAGTTCTGGCTATGGAAATGCCTTTAATGATACGCCAATTAAAACTATCATTAAACTATTATTACAAAACTATTTATAATACAAATAACTCGGCATTCCAATATATTCTCCCATCAATATATAAAAACCTTTATAATAAAAAACTTAAAGCAATTAAACCTTTTCAGTTTACAGGAGGAAATCATAAAAAAATTTTTAATAATAATAATTTTAAATAATCAATTAGACAATTTTCCTTCATGAAGATTAAACCAACCAACAATAAACACCTACTTAACAAAATACAACAAATTAACAGATGCAAATATAATTAAAACAATAGTCAATGAATTTCTATTTCATTACAAGACTTACGTAATTATATACACTAATGAATCTAAAATTAATGACTCAACAACAGCTGCAGTTATTATTGAAAAACAATATATCCAACAACATTTACCGAATAATACATCAATTTATACAGCAGAACTTCAAGCAATAAATCTAGTTTTAGATTTTAGCAATTAGCGATTTATACAGAACAACTACAAGCAATAAATCTAGCTTTAGATCAACTAACAAATGAAAATAATAAAAGATATATCATAATGACAGATCAGAGGTGGACATGGGTCCATTTTTACTGACCCAACCCAACCCATCACTCAACTCAACCCATCCCAACCCAACCCGCCTGAAAATGCAACTTTTCAACCCAACCCGACCCGACCCACGACCCATCTGCACGAGTCGCAATTTTACCAAACAGGCAAATTTTTACAAATGATATTTAAAAAGCAGAACTCAAAAATACAAGATCATATGTGTAATAAAACACACTGGTGAAGTAATCACACTGCAAGTGTAATAAAATAACATGAAAATTAATTAAAAATTAAATGTTACTAATATTTTCCCACAACAACGTCAGAAACATCAAACTTTCCATATTTGGCACCTAACTCAACACAGCTCTGCATCAAATTGAGAAGCCCTTTATTTTCAACAGATTTGTATGAGTGGTAACCATCAACACAGAAAAAGATCTGCCTATGCTTCAACATCGTTAATTCTTGAGGAGACAGTTGAATTTTTCGTTTCAAGCATTGCTGGATTTTCAACTGTGACTTTGGCAAGACTACAGCACAATGTTTAATATGTTCTTGCTGATTTTTAGTGCCAAAGTTTTTACCTGATGAATCTTTAAACTGATATACCTTATTGCACTTAATACAAGCACAATACTCAATAGTAATTCACAGGAATTTCGCTTTCATCATTTTCCTTTTTTTGAAAAACCATGTGAAATTTCTGCCAGATTTCTGATTTTAAATTTGTGGGTGCTTTTAATATATACCACCCTGTTTTTTCTGGAATGAATAAATATTTAAATACTTAAGTATGTTCAATCAATCAATTAAATTTATCTAATGAATGTGATTTCTAAACTTCAACAGCACCCAACTAAAATTTGAAAAATAAACCATTTCTAGGTAGAAAAAAGAAAGAAAATGAAACATGAATATCAGGTAAATAAGTAAAATGAGCAATTGAGAAAAAATTCTGATGTCTGTAAAGTGTAACTGTAAAGACTGAAGAGATTTGAAATTATGAAAAATAACAATTAAATCTTTAAAAAAGGAATTAAAACATAAAAAATGTAAAAGTGTTAATGTGAAATTTATTAGATTTTTTACTTTCGCAAACTTAGCAAATTCAAATCACACAAACCTCTCAAATGACGCTGAATTTCTTCTGATTCTGCCATACTTGTAAATAAAACTAATTTTCTCGATCGGAAAGAAGTTAACTTTTGCTCAACTCAATAATCACAAAAAGAAAGTGGAAACGATAGACCAAAGATACAATAATATTACAGCGATATAAAATACACCGATTGTTATCTAGTTAAAATGTTCGTTTAAGAATAAAAAAAAATACAGAAATAAATTATTTATAATAAAATTTGAAAATTTCAACCCAACCCAACCCACACAACTTTAAAAAATTTGGACCCAACCCATGGGTTAACCCAACCCATGTCCACCTCTGTGACAGATTCCTTGTCAACTGTACTAGCCCTTAAACAATTTGAAATAAATAATGAACTTATAAAAAATATAAAAATTAAAATACATAAGTTAATACAAAATAAATGTAATATCCAAATAGTATGGATCCCCAGTCATATAGGGATAATTGGCAATGAAAAGGTTGACATGTTAGCAATAAAAGCTCACCAGATCCCCATAACAGATATTGCGATTCCACATTCTGACTTAAAACCAAACATTGTAAAATATCTAATATCATTATGGCAATCAGAATGGGATCAAACAAAAACACATCTCCAGCAAATACAACCAAACATTGCAAAAACAAATATTAATACATTTAACAATAGATTTATGGTAAACAAAATTTATAGAATCACGATAGGTCATACTAATCTCACTCACAACTATCTCTTAAATAAAAAAGAAATTCCAATTTGTCAATTCTGTAATAATAAATTAACTATTAAACATATATTTATTTGCAATAAAACAAAAGAAAAAAGAACTTTGTTATCCTTGGCTGATAATCTAGTTGACATTTTGAAAATAAAAGAAAATATCATTTCAATGATAGAATACCTAAAAAAATTAATTACGATGATATGATATAAATTTCACTGAAACAACTTTTGAAATCATGCAGTCGAGGGGGGTTTCTTGATTGGGCTGAGTCGATGCATTGGTCTAGAATGAGAATTGAGCCAATTAACTTTTAACACCAAAAAGCTTAATTATATAAATTACTTAAATTCTACAACTGACGGGAATTTGGATTCGATGATTGTGTTGTGGCTAGAGTTGCTGGGAATGGCGCTGTCTTGGGGGATTGAACCCGGGCTGGTTTGCTGATCTTACTGATCTGTGGCTTTCTCTTTGTGCATTTCACCAACATAAATAGGAAAATATTAAACATCATGTGTGGCGTGTCAGGTTTTTTACTGTGGACATGCCTAATATTGATGGCTCAGATATGGCAAAGAGAAGATATACATTTCCCCGAAAGTATGTCGAGAATCTGCTGTGGATAGCCACTTCGGTAGAGACTCGGATACTGTAGGGAGTTTAATCATTACTCTTGATTGAGGCTAAAAAAATCCCACGAGGTGTGTCGAGAATCTATTATGGCTAAATACCATGGTGGAGGCTCTAACGCCATTAATGGGGTTTTTTTTTACATCTGTACGGTTCTAACGCCATTAATGGGGTTTTTTTTACATCTGTACGGTTCGCTCGGGATGTGTTGAGAACCTGCTCTGGCTGAATACCATAGTGGAAACTCTAATATCTTCGAGAGGATTTGTGCAGTATTGCATTTCTCTCACAGTGCATCGAGAATCTACAGTGGCTAAATACCATGGTGGAAGCTCGTGTGCCGCTAAAAGAGAATCAGACCACTCTATCCTTAATCTTTATAATCTTTTCAATTTTGTGTCGAATGCCGTCTGTGGGTGGCCTCCATGGTGAAAAATCAAGCGACATACTTGGAACTTAAATAGTCAAAACGTGAATGCACTGGAGTGAGAGTCATTGTTTTGTGGGACTGGCGAACGGTAGGTGGGTTTTCTCTCTTCGTGCTGACGTCAATTTCTGGTGCTTTTGGTCTATGGTTTGAATATGTTACCCGTCAACCTAAAAAGAATGGAATAAACTATTACAACCTTACCTCTTAAAATATACTTAAGTCAAAAATTATCATTTATTTTTCTGGATTGATGTCTTGATATATTTTGATCGGATTCTTCCTTTTTGACTGTGATTGATTTTGAAGATGTAATAATAATAACTACATAATTATGAAAAAAAAATAAAATAAAAATTAAGAAAAAAAAAATTAAAATTACTGGCACCATCTTGGGAGTTGCAATGCCGTTAAAATCTTCAATAAATAAATAAATGTAAATTAAATAATTTTTTTCTTTCTTTTTTAAAACTTTTAAAAAATCAATTTTTAAAACATATATATAAAATATGAAAAATTTATAATGTTTAAAACCAAATAATATATGCATACATATAAAAACCAATTAATATAAGCATATATCAATCAATCAATCAATCAATCAATCAATCATAAGCATATATGTAGAACATGTAAAATTTATAATGTTTAAAACCAATTAATATAAGCATACATACACATATACATACACATATTTACACACCCATACATATACTATACATACTTACATTTATAGACACACGTACTCCCATACACACACCCACTCACCGAAACACACACACATACACACACTCCCCAATATATATGTAAGCATTACATATAAACAGTACCTAAACAATCATATACGTTTACAAGGAAATTGAAGAACAATACTAAAAAGATGAAATGAAAAAAATATTTGACCTGAATAATTTTAAATAAGAGAAAATCAGTCACAGTATGGAATAGTAATAGCAATGTTAATGTATAAAAACAGAAAAGAGTTAATAAATTAAACGTTTGAAAAGGAAACAATAAATTGAATTCACTGTCAATCATTTATGATTAAAAAGCAAATAAATTATAACAAAACCAAGAAAATTAAGAATAAAATAAACTATAAAAAAGTTGCAGGAATAATTGTAATTGAATAAAATTAATCGCAGAATAATAAAAAATATTGAAGATCAAGTTGTATAAGAGAACCGAAAGACAAAATTTATGCACTAATGAATATAAATAGGTGTCGTTCTATTCCTAAAGCTGACAAAAAGTTTCAATCTAATTTGTAAAACAAATCATGAAGCATTAACACTATTAAAACAACATAAAAATGTTATTATACACATGATATTGTGATATATTAAAATTTTTCATTTCAATTTTTATTTAATTTATATTTTTTGTTGATTTATATTTTTTTTATGAATTTTTTTTTATTTTTTATGATTTTTATTTTATATTTTTTGTTAATTTTGCCGAAGGAATTGTGCAATAATTTTACATGAGACGTTCAATAAAATGATTTTGGATTATGCGGAAAACATTTTTGGGAAAATGAACGTTAAATGAGACAAAAATCTTAATAAAAATTTAGAAAATAAAAATAATAATATGAGGAGTCTGGTGAAATGAATGTTGGACGGTATCAGTTTACTGTCAATAAGTAGCATTAATTAAGCAATATCGAATATTGTGAGGGTAATTACTAGATGTGTAAACTGTTATAAAAGTAGAAATTAAGAGATTCTGGGCCTCAGATTCAAAGTGTGGCAGATCGCAAAAAGATACTATATTGACCAATAAATTTGAAAAATAATTATTGTAATACTATCCGCAAGTTTAAAGTAATAATTTTGTTTTTACGTGAATGCTTTGCAGCAACAGTTGAACCTCGATGTGCCAGATATGGGAGGAGACACGTTAAATAAAACAATAGCTCTTCACGGCCAGTACGACCCCGACTTTGTGGAATATAAATCTTTTGCACATGCAGTTAGCTTTGTTTATTGAATAAAATATGAAATAATAAATCAATTGCAGTCTATTTTTTGAGACAGTATAATTCTATTTTCCAAAGTACAATAATATTAGTACATTAAAAGATGCGGATCCCATCGATTTGAAATAATTATTTATTATAATAAAGTATTTAAATTGAATTTTTTAATTTTTGTATGTTTTTTTAAACTTTCCACTTTAGCGCCGTGAAGATGCGGCCACTGTTGATGGTGGCATGAGTAGCGAGGGTATTTCACAGGGGGTTCCAACAGGTTATGTGCACATTGAGGCTCCTCTTTCAAGGAGCACATCAGCTCTTGGCCGGTCGGATGAAACTGCGGCCGGCATGTCAGCAAATGGTAAATATCGTTAACCGCTTTAATTATATATAATTGTCATTCGTTAAAAGTTATTTGCAGAAACGTTTATACATACACTGTTTAATGTTTGTTGAAGAATTATTTGTAAACTACGAAACAATGAAACGTGAACATGCACTTTAAACTTTTAGCAGCGGCAGGAGCAACAAGTGGTCAACAGACAACCACCGAAACAACAATCGTTAAAGAGACTTTTGAAAGAAATGTGCCACATGCAGCTGGAAACGCCAGTTATGTCAATCATGAAGATGTAACGAAAAACACAATGTATGCTTACCCTGCAAAAAGCCAAAGTCGAAATGAACAAACCAGGTCGAAAAGCGTTTTAAATGAAATTGATGAAGAGGAGCTTCGCAAGCCTATTCAGTTGAATGAAATTGCTAATTCTAACATTAACGGTGGAGTTTCCCAGATTGGAGCCACTTTAATAAGACCTGAAACACCCGGAGGACAAGGTAAATTAAATTTAAAACACCACTCAATTCGTTTTATAGTTTACTTTTAAAAAATGTATCGAATTTGAAAACAGATCGTCTTAACTACGGAGTTCAGAAATAAAACTTATCACAATAACTCACCGTCATTAGCCATTTCTATTGAAAAGTGAAATTTGTAATTAATGTCATGTGTCATTAGTTACAAATGTCAAGTTTCAGCTTGTACGTAACAATACAAAAAATAACGGTGATATACAGCTGTATCAATAATAATAATAATAAATAATAATATATATTAACAATAATAATATTATTAGCGTGAAATAGCTAATAATAGCAATAATAGAAATGGCATAGCGTGAAATCTGGAGAAATTGCTCAATGCCGACTGAATGGAACTATAGCATGACAGTCCCGCTATACAAAGGCAAAGGTGATCCATTAAACTGTTCATCATATCGGGGTATACGTCTGTTAGAACACTCCCTGAAAATTGTCGAAAAAATCATTGAAAGAAGATTAACGTCGTGTACCACAATCGGAAATTATCAATTTGGTTTTCTAGCGGGGAAATCAATAATTGATGCAATTCACATCCTTCGGCAACTGCAAGAAAAGTACCTCGCAAAGCATCAACAACTATCACACATTTTTGTAGACCTTGAAAACGCATTTGATCGAGTTCCCCGTGAAGCAATCAGATGGAGTCTACGTCGACAATTCATTCCAGAATATCTTGTTCGACTTGTGATGGAAATGTATACGAATACTAAGACTCTTGTCAGCACAACGGTTGGAAACACAGATGCATTTGACATCGGCGTTGGAGTTCACCAAGGCTCGATTCTCAGTTCACTGTTATTTATAACTGTGATGGAAGAAATCACAAAACCGATACGCACTGGTGACATTTGGAATCTAGTATATGCTGATGATATCGTTTTAACAGCCACGTCTGAGCAGAATGCAGCACAGATATTTGAAGATTGGAACACCAGACTCGCCGATCATGGATTCAAAGTCAACATCAGCAAAACCAAAGCAATGAACACTGGTGAACCCATCCAATCCACAGCTACTGGACGATGGCCCCGTTCAGTTTGTAAAGCTGGTGTAGGTAACAATTCAATCAAGTGTCAGCAGTGTAACCAGTGGTGTCACAAACGTTGTTCAAAAATAATTGGTACTTTATCTAAAGTGTCCAATTTTGTTTGTCCTGCTTGCATCAATCCACAACAACAAATTCGAAATAGCACTATTTTTGAAGCCATTAAAATAGAGAAAGTCACATCGTTTCAATATCTAAGGGATGTTCTGGACTGTACTGGAACAGCTGAAGCTGCCGTTCGAGCACGCATACGTGCAGCCTGGAATAAATGGCATCTCCTTGCCTCTATATTGATGCGGCGTGACATCCCACTACCACTACGATCAAGACTTTATAAATCTGTGATACGTCCGGTGTTGTTATATGGTGCAGAAAAGTGGCCAATGACAACTAAACTGGAACAACAACTTCAACGAACCGACATGAAAATGCCCCGATGGATGCAACGAATTAGTCTGAAGGACCACATCAAATCTACCGAAATCTTGCGTCGTGCTGGTTTAGATGATATAAAGGACGAATGCCGGCAACACCGTCTGCGGTGGTTTGGTCATGTCAAACGAAGTGGAAACAGTGCCATAACTTTTCTTGCAGATGTTGAAGTACCTGGCACACGTCCTAAAAGCCGTCCAAAGAAGTCCTGGTCGCAAACAATTGAGCAAGACATGAAAGCTCTAAATTTAAATGAAATGGATACAACTGATCGTCCAATTTGGCGCAAAAAGTTGATGGCAAAGAAAACAACGTCCTACTTCGGGAAACCGGGTCTCTGGATGCAAAACGAAGATTGATTGATTGAATAATAATATTGTTATTATTATTACTATAACTACAATAATTATTTTTTGATTGAGTTAAATGTCGGCACAAGGTGAATGATAATTATACTTAACAAATCAGGTTACGTCCAAAATATTATTAGTGGCAGCGAACCAAACTTCCGTGAGAATTCGATGGCCCTCAATGAATACTCGAACTATGAAGGAGCTTATCTTCAGGACCCGACACGATCTAATCTAGCTTTCCAAAATGAAGTAAGTAATTTTTTCAAAAGTGTACGTAATTATGTTGCTACTTGTTGGAAAGGTTGAATAGTTTTTACATCTTCTGATAATTGCTTCCATCATTTTCATTTTTTTATCCGTTCAACATGCCGTTTTAACTGTGATAATTTTCACTCTCAAAAATAAAAATTGAAGATAATAATGAACGATGTGGGTCGCCCGATATCCTACTACGACGAACAAACGCTGAGGCAGAGCAACATTCCACTCTACACTAACGACATCGGCATGATGAACATGAACAGAAACGCAGATCGTCGGCAGGAATCCAGCTATGTGGAGCACATTGAAGAAACGAGATTTTTATAATGGAATAAATAAAAATTGAACTTTTTAATCAAATTTTGTGATTAACAACGTTTTGTTATGCGCCGATATTTATAGTAAATTTCAAGCTTATTCAATCTGATAAAACTAATTCATACTGTCTGTCCATTTCAAATTAATATATTTCAGTTCATTTTCACCATTTATTTTAAGTTTTTAAGGATAAATCCGTTCTAGCAGGTGTTATTTATATAAATGTTAACGTGCGATCATATATACAACACAAACATATACACATATGTGTGCGTGTGTGTGTGCGTGTGTGCATACATTTAAATTGATTGAAATTTAATTAGCTAACTAATATTATTTTTTCTTACTTTCTATATTTGGCAACTAGCTTCTTTATGTTTAATGTGTTTTAATGTTTTAATAATGAATACAATAATTGACAAATTGTACTCCACTAATCTCAACAGAATCAGAATCACGTGCGAGCTAAGATCCGTGCACTCTAATTTTGTATATGCATATATACAAGCTATCGAGAAGACGTAGCTTATTAACTGGCGCTATAAAGAATCGCATGAAAGAGAAACACAAAACTATTGAAAAATTAAACAGGTAGCTAACTAACGCGGAACATGTTGTGTGTTGTGATTTACACCAATAATTGGATTTCTGACAGTCTTAATCATATATATACATACATACATATATATATATATATATATATATATATATATATATATATATACATATATATATATATATATCGAAAGAAATATTAGCTTCTTAACTTGACTTAAAATATATTTTGTGTTTTTTGATACGTTCAAAATAAAAGCGATCTAATTAAATGATTTTTTATTTGTTAATCAATTTTGTACCGCACAATTATATTCGTAGGACGATATTTTTGACATATGCCGTTTGATCATTAAAACGTAACAAGTAACAAGCAAAACCGATATTTACGGTTCGCTAAAATTTCTGCTTGACACAGTAGAGCTGAAACTTTAAAATGTTAATTTTGGCTTAACCCTCTAACGCATGGGTCCTTTCTTTAAGACCACCCTATACTATGTTTATTTTTTAATTTATTTGCCAAAAAAGCAGGGAGACTGAAGTTCAAGAAAACTTATACGGTCAAGAACTTTTGCACTCCACAATAATTTTTTTTGTTTGAATGATCGTTTTTTTGTTTAATCGTTGGATAAAACCACAATTTTGCAATGTCTGAAATAAAAAAAAATTCTCAACATTTAAAATATTTCCCTCAAACTTTTCTGATATTCGGTTGTCGTGTTTACTATAATTAAAATTCAAGTTATTTTTATTACCATGTGGTCATCACAGTTACTGTTACCGATAGCCTTTTTGTGATCTTCTTAATAAAAGATGCCATGCGCCACAGGTCGCTTGCACATTGTACCATAAAAATCGAACCAATAGCATTGTTATAAATACACATATCTTTAGGAAATAATAAAATACTGTATCATGAAAAGGACACAGAAACACTTGTAACACTTAATTAGTGTGTGTACCCTACGTAACAAGCAATCGAGTCCAAGAATAGAAATTAGGATTATAAGCATGAAATATATTTAGCCTCTCGAATTACTTTTCCACATCATTTTCTGATCATAAACAACCATCTTTCCTTTTTATTAGTATGGGCTTTAGTCTACATTTTTTAAATACAGACTGTTGAGACAAATAAAATCCATTTTTCTTTTCAATATCTGTATTGCCACGTCAATGTCCATTTCTTGAGACAGGTTTTTCAGCCTTATTAGTAAAAATTTAATTAACCTATTATCCGGCATTTTACTAGAATGTTTACATTTAAAACATTTCTTTATTACTTACTATTTCAAGGTTATCCCCAGTAACCTTAAAATTACAAATAATAATCAATTCCAAAAATTTTCCAATCTTTTATAAAACTGATAATAATCCATTCCAATCATTTTGCAATGTTATTTAAAATTGTAAACACCATATTTTATGTTTTTCCAAAATTCCTCTGTTCTATACTTTTAAAGTTTTGCATACATCATGTGTACATTATGTGTACCGCTGAAAAGTTCTTGTAAGCCATCTGCATTAGATGCCAACAGATCAAAACCACGAGCAAACTTGAGATTTTTTACATTTTGTTTTCAATACCAGTCCATCGATCATTGATGTTTATATTTTTTCCATCACTGTTTCCATGTTGTGAAAAATCAGCGATGGTAACGGATCACTTTTTTTGTCGGCTTCCAATATTGATTTTTTTCTGTGACTTAATTGATTCAGTTTTAATGCGTATCAGAAAAACGAGCAGTTTTTGAACCAAAAAGTAATAGAAAATTTCTTACTAGAAACAGGCCAAAAGTTTTTTGGTAACTGTAATTTTGAACTTAAAAAAACTTTCAAAGACTAAGTGACTAATGTATCAAGAAACTGGGCAAAGATGTGAATGACACAGCAATCAGCCATCAATCAATCTTCGTTTAGCATCCAGAGACCCAGTTTCCCGAGGTATGACGTTGTTTTCTTTGCCATCAATTTTTTGCGCCAAATTAAACGATCAGTTGTATCCATTTCATTTAAATTTAGAGCTCGATTGTTTGCGACCAGGACTTCTTTGGACGGCATTTTGGACGTGTGCCAGGTACTTCACCATCTGCAAGAAAAGTTATGGCACTGTTCCCACCGTTTGACATGACAAAACTACCTCAGACGGTGTTGCCGGCACTCGTCCTTTATTCATCTAAACCAGCACGACGCAGGATATCGGTAGATTTTATGTGATCCTTCAGACTAATTCGTTGTATCCATCGGAGCATTTTCATGTCGTTAGTTGAAGTTGTTGTTCCAGTTTAGTTGTCATTGGCCATGTTTCTGCACCATATAACAACACCGGACGTATCACAGATTTATAAAGTCTTGATCGTAGTGCTAGTAGGATGTCACGCCGCATCAATATAGAGGCAAGGAGATGCCATTTATTCCAGGCTCCAGGCTACAGGTATGCGTGCTCGAACGGCAGCTTCAGCTGTTCCAGTACAATCCAGAACATCCCTTAGATAGTTGTTGATGCTTTGCGAGGTACTTCTCTTGCAGTTGCCGAAGGATGTGAATTGCATCAATTGTTGATTTCTCTGCTAGAAAAACAAATTGATAATTTCCGATTGTGATGCACGACGTTAATCTTCTCTCAATGATTTTCTCGACAACTTTCAGGGAGTGTTCTAACAGACGTATACCCCGATATGATGAACAGTTCATTGGATCACCTTTGTCTTTGTATAGCGGAACTGTCATGTTATAGTTCCATTCAGTCGACATTGAGCAATTTTTCCACACTTCACGGCAAAGCTGTAGTAACGCTTGGATACCTGCAGTACCATATGCTTTGATAATGTCATTTGTGAGTCCAGAGGGCCCTGCTGCCTTTCCATCCTTCATAGCTTTCAGAGCTTCTGTAAGCTCCTCTACAGTGATGTCTGGAATCGGACCTTCGATGGGTGGAGCGTCAAAGTTGACATTGATGGGATTTGTTTCATTTAACAGACGGTTGAAGTATTTTCTCAGCCATTCGATCATTATATTCGATCAGCCATGCCCAAAGTTGGAAAAATTATTAAGTTATTTATACATAATAATTACAATAATTAAGGAGCAAACTTTTTAGCCCTGGCCTTTTGACGAGGTAAAGAACTAGCAACTCAATATAACATTTGAACTTTTATTTAATCGAATTGATTTAATCAGTCAAATCATTTCACATAGATATCAATCAACCAAACCATCTCACACAGACATCAATCAATCAAACCATCTCACACAGACATCAATCAATCAAACCATCTCACATAGACATAAGATTCATAAATAAAATTATGTACCTTCGTCATACAGTACCAGAAACAAATAGAGTGTTTCAACAAACTATTTAAATAAATATTGAAAATTGCTAAAGAATTAATTAAACAATTCGAGATTGATTGTGGTTGTTTGGCTGTTTGGCAAAAGCTACCAATGTGACGTTTGAATTCCATCAACCTCAGACATTTAAACTTCATTTCATATTACAAGTCTGCGAAGAACAAATGATGTAAACTTTTACATACGTGAAAAAATAAAACAGTAACACGTGAGGTTATTTAACTATAGTACTTAAAACCAAACACTAAATAAACTTTAAAACTAATAATATCAATTTTGCAATGTTATTTAGAATTATGAAAACCATTCCAATCATTTTGCAACGTTATTTAAAATTATAATCAACCTATTCCGGCCATCTTATTTAAAATTATACTCGATTCTAATTTTTTTGAAATTTTATTTAAAATTACTAACAATCCAGTTCCATATGTCCGCTACAATACCCATTACACATGTATTATATATAAAGAAAATTTTAAATATATATATATATATTTCTATTTAAATTTTTTAAATATTTTGTTCAAAATTCTTAAATTTCTTGTCATTTCTATTTTTAAAAGCCATAATAATTTCGTTTAGAAATTTTGCTTAGGACAAAGATAAATAATAATTTTGTTTAGAAATTTTGCTTTGGACAAAGATAAACGCTAGGCGTTTCCGGAGCCGCTAATGAGTCGCCACACTAAGGCCCTATTGGGCAAAGGAAAATTAGAAAAAAAAGATAAATTTTCTAGTCCTGCTCTCGAGTGTTCAAATTGTAGAGGGTTTATTGATAATATCTGGCCATCGTTAACCGGCGAGGTTCTTGTAGTTGTTGGATGCATCAGGAATATATCATGGACTTACGAAAGTGGTTCGAACTCTAGACCAGCTGTTTCAGAAAGTAAATCTATTTCGGACGTGGTGGCGTGTGTTACAGAGCTAAAAAAAACAATTTATCGGACCAATTTACAAAGCTCCATGTTAAAACATCAATTCTCTGATTTGCAAAAACAGTTGAATTCAGCAGTTCGTTCTGATACTGAAGATAACAATGTTGTGAACCCATGGAATAACGTTGGTGTTACTACCGATGATATCGTTAAAACTGGTATTGCTGCTTCAGCCATTATTAATGCTAATGACCATAATCAAGTTGGCGTCCATAACGGCAGCAGTCTTAGCAACAACCAATTTAAATTAAATAAAACTAGCGATTTAATTAATGCAACTAGTCGACCATGGGAGGATAGGTTAACTTCATCTCAGATTTGTCCTTCGTTGTCTGACCATTTCCCTGTATTTTGTTCTTTTAATTTGTCTCTAAACTTTAATTTATCTGAAATATATTGGTTAAGGTTCAACTCTAATCCTTCCAACATTGCTAAATTAAATAATTATTTAAATAATTTTGATTGAAGTCTTGTTTTAAACTGTCCTGACACAGATGCAGCCTTTGAGCTTTATACAAATGTTTTCAAAGTAGCTGTTTCTAAATTTTGTGTAGTTTTTATGAACCATTCACGAAAAAAAAGCCATGGATTACTAAGGAATTTAATGGATATAGGTTTAATGGTAAACGTACTTGGATCTATTGAAATCATGTTTGAGTTTGAAACAAAGTAATTCATATAATTTAATTGTTGATAATAAATTAATTAATGATGACTCAACCTTATGCAATGTTTTTAATGATCATTTTTTTTAGTTTTGTTAATTACAATAATTCTTCTGGTTCTGACACTGCAAGTCTTAATTATAAAAAATATCTTTCTGTTGATATTGTAAACTCTTTTCCCCTTTTTGACTGTTCTCAATTTGAAATTTTAGGCATCATTAATATTTTAAAAATTCACATAGTTGTGGCGATGATTGTTTTTCTAATTTTTTGTTGAAGAAAACTGCTAATAATATTATGCCATTGCAATACTTGATAAATTTATCATTTAACAATGGCTGTTTTCCTAAATGCTTGAAAGTTTCAAAATTCATGCCTTTATTTAAAAATGGTGATAGACATGTTGTTAATAACTATCGTCCTATTTCTATTATATCTAGTTTGTCAAAGGCCATTGAAAAAATTGTTCAAATAGACTAACAAAGTTTCTAAATTCTTATAATGTATTTTGTTATAATCAATACGGTTTTCATTCAAAATTATGTACTGAATTTGCAATATCAATCCTCGATTATAGTCGCCATTCTTATGGGTCGGACTTTTTTATTCCATTCATCGGTTTCTGTCTCCAAGCCGATCTATCCATTGCGTCTGTCTCCTTGAGACCAAGTGCCTTCAAGTCCTCCTTCCTGGATGGTCTGCATCCAGTACTTTTTCAAATTTGCAATAAGTGATGTAATTAATTTTGTTTCTCTTGCTTTAGAGTCTAAGAAATTTTACATTAAATTGATTCATTAGATCACAATATTCTATTATACAAATTGTATTTTTATGGTATAAGAGCTTTTATGGCTTTCACTTGGTTTGAATTTTATTTCAAAGATCGTTATCAGTATGTCTGCATTAATAACTCTATTTCTCAACTGTCTCCTATTGATTTTGGTGTTCCGCAAGGTTCAATCCTAGGTCTACTGTTGTTTAACACTTTTATCAATAATTTTATAAGTGCATCTAATGTACTGAAGTTTATACTTTTTGCAAATGATACTATTGGTTTCTATTATTAACTAAGAATTATTTCTTGTTTATGATTGGGTAGCCTCTATTAATAATGCCAAAACATTATTTATATTTTTTGGCCCTAAAATTGGTTTGTATCATCCTATTTTATTGCTAAATAATAGAAGTCTTATGTCCAGGGTATGACATAAAACTGCATCCACGCTGCCTTGCGTGCTTTTGAGTGAAAGGCTAGGCCCACCGCTTATAACTGGTGGTTGTCGTCAGGATGGGTGTCCGGATGTAAAAACTTTTCCCCAAATTATTCCTATGCCTACACAAAGAAAAACAACGGCCCTTGTCCCCAGCAGGCCTTAAGTGGTCAAGGGGTGCCAAGAATCCCTGAAAAGTATGCAATAGCGGAGGGATGTTGCAGAAAAATTCAGAATGGCCCCTCTATGGTACTTATACTTGGAAAGCTCAATGTTGGATCACTGACTGGCCACAGCATGGAAATCGCAGAAATGCTCGAGCATAGAAGGATTGACATCTGCTGCCTTCAGGAAACCCGACGAAAATCGAATGGTGTCTGTCATGTCAACTCAGACAAAGAAAAATATAAACTATTCTGGAATGGTCGAAAGACGGCCAAAAATGGTGTTGGAATTTTTGTCAGAGAACCGCTAGCCCAAGAAGTAATGGATAATAAAAAGATTAATTCACGTCTCATGTGGATCAAGCTTCGCATAGAAAAGCAAACAATGATTATTTTTGCTGCATACGCACCCCAGACAGGCGAATCAAAAAAGATGAAAAATGACTTTTGGACTGCATTCTCTGACACCATCTCAACAATACAAAAATGTGAAACAATCCTGATTGGAGGCGATCTCAATGGCCACGTTGGAGAGAAAACAGATGGTTTTCACAACGTGCATGGCGGTTTTGGCTATGGAAAACGGAATGAAGATGGCAACCGCATCCTTGAGTTTGCTGAAAGTCACGGGTTTTGTTTACTGAACACATATTTTAAAAAGAGGTTGGAAAATCTCATAACATACAAAAGTGGACCATCAGCCACGCAAATTGATTTCTTCGCTGTCAAACAACCACACCGAAGGCTGTTCAAAAACGTCAAAGTTATACCTGGCGAATCATGTGTCGCCCAACATAGACTCCTTGTGGCAGACCTGGTTGTCGAACTGTCAAAACATAAGTCTAAACAAATGTCTCGGAAAATCAAAACGTGGAAGCTGAAAAGCAATATTCATCGATAAAAATTTTAACAGATTGTCGCCACACAGTTAGACCACCAATCGCAAGCCAGTACAGATTGGAGTACATACAAAACCGTTTCAATGAACGCTGCAACTACAGTTTGTGGGGAAAACAGGTACAAAACGTCAGCATGAACGGGACACTTGGTAGTGGAATGACAGTGTACAAAATGCAATAACTGAAAAGAAAGTTGGATACAAGCAATGGCAAAAATCAAAGTCTGTAGATGACCATAAAATTTTCCATGAGAAGAACAACTATGCAAGACGTCAAGTTGCACTGGCACGGACAGATCAGTGCAGAGAGTGGCTCACTAAAAGCAAAGGTGAACAAATGAAATCTCTGTATCGTATAGCAAAACAAGCAAAGCGTACGAAAAAAAACATAGTTGGTGCCTCATGTATCAAAAACGACAAAAATGAGATAGTTCTTGAACAAGATGAGATGAGATCAAGCTACAGTGGAGAGAATACTTCAATCGTCTGTTAAACGAAACAAATCCCATCAATGTTAACTTTGACGCTCCACCCATCGAAGGTCCGATTCCAGACATCACTGTAGAGGAGCTTACAGAAGCTCTGAAAGCTATGAAGAATGGAAAGGCAGCAGGGCTCTCTGGACTCACAAATGACATTATCAAAGCATCTGGTACTGCAGGTATCCAAACGTTACTACAACTTTGCCGTGTAATCTGGAGAAATTGCTCAATGCCGACTGAATGGAAGTATAGCATGACAGTCCCGCTATACAAAGGCAAAGGTGATCCATTGAACTGTTCATCATATCGGGGTATACGTCTGTTAGAACACTCCCTGAAAATTGTCAAAAAAAAGTCATTGAGAGTTGAGAGAATATTAACGTCGTGCATCACAATCGGAAATTATCAATTTGGTTTTCTAGCGGGGAAATCAACAATTGATGCAATTCACATTCTTCGGCAACTTCAAGAGAAGTACCTCGCAAAGCATCAACAACTGTCACACATTTTTGTAGACCTTGAAAAAGCATTTGATCGAGTTCCCCGTGAAGCAATCAGGTGGAGTCTACTTCGACAACTCATTCCAGAATATCTTGTTCGACTTGTGATGGAAATGTATACGAATACTAAGACTCTTGTCAGCACAACGGTTGGAAACACAGATGCATTTGACATCGGCGTTGGAGTTCACCAAGGCTCGATTCTCAGTCCACTGTTATTTATAACTGTAATGGAAAAAATCACAAAACCGATATGCACTGGTGACATTTGGAATCTAGTATATGCTGATGATATCGTTTTAACAGCCACGTCTGAGCAGAATGCAGCACAGATGTTTAAAGATTGGAACACCAGACTCGCCGATCATGGATTCAAAGTCAACATCAGCGAAACCAAAGCAATGAACACTGGTGAACCCATCCAATCCACAGCTACTGGACGATGGCCCTGTTCAGTTTGTAAAGCTGGTGTAGGTAACAATTCAATCAAGTGTCAGCAGTGTAACCAGTGGTGTCACAAACGTTGTTCAAAAATAATTGGTACTTTATCTAAAGTGTCCAATTTTGTTTGTCCTGCTTGCATCAATCCACAACAACAAATTCGAAATAGCACTGTTTTTGAAGCCATTAAAATAAAGAGTCACATCGTTTCAATATCTAGGAGATGTTTTGGATTGTACTGGAACAGCTGAAGCTGCCGTTCGAGCACGCATACGTGTAGCCTGGAGCCTGGAATAAATGGCATCTCCTTGCCTCTATATTGATGCGGCGTGACATCCCACTACCACTACGATCAAAACTTTATAAATCTGTGATACGTCCGGTGTGGTTATATGGTGCAGAAACATGGCCAATGACAACTAAACTGGAACAACAACTTCAACGAACCGACATGAAAATGCTCCGATGGATGCAACGAATTAGTCTGAAGGACCACATCAAATCTACCGAAATCCTGCGTCGAGCTGGTTTAGATGATATAAAGGACGAATGCCGGCAACACCGTTTGCAGTGGTTTGGTCATGTCAAACGAAGTGGAAACAGTGCCATAACTTCTCTTGCAGATGTTGAAGTACCTGGCACACGTCCCAAAGGCCGTCCAAAGAAGTCCTGGTCGCAAACAATCGAGCAAGACATGAAAGCTCTAAATTTAAATGAAATGGATACAACTGATCGTCTAATTTGGCGCAAAAAGTTGATGGCAAAGAAAACAACGTCCTACCTCGGGAAACTGGGTCTCTGGACGCTAAAGGAAGATTGATTGATTGATTGAAATAATAGAAGTCTTAAAAGAGTAAATGCTATTTCTGGAAGTTTAAATTAGTTAGATCATAATAAGTATACATCGGGGAAAATATCTAAAAATTTAGGATAAATATATCGTTTGAAACATACATTTCCTAGGTTCATATCGATAACCTTATATAACTCTTTAATATTGCCTTATTTAACTTACTGGATTGCTATCTGGGGATGCAGTTCTAACACTAAACTTCATTTGATAAGTTTGAACCAAAATTTTTTCTTACGATTATTATTTGATTTGAACAAATTTGGGCATGTAACTTCATATTATAATTTAGCTGGTATTTTAAATATAAAACAGTTGCATATTAATTATTCATTAAAACTTTTTTTATATAAATTTTTAAATTAAATTATTGTTACTCCCTCTATAATCAAGTCATTGTATTTAATAACCATAGTACCAGACGTTTAAGAAATAACAATGATTTTTATTTATTTAAGCCCAGATCAATTTTTTTTTATTAATTCTGTTCTTCCTTTTTCAATGCATTTATGGAACTCGATACCGGTTCATGTTAAAAGTCTACCCTCACGAGGGTCATTTAAGGTTAACATTTATCAGTTAATTTATTTAAATATTTTCTTTAATTGTGTACTATTGTGTATTATATATTATTATATATTTTATTATTTATGTCATGAACTTGCATCATCATTAATTTGTCATTATGCTTTTTTTGTTTCTGTTTTAGAGAATAATGAATATTCTATCATTTTCACGACTTAGTTAAGGTGGTCTGCACACATACAATAGTGTCGTGATCCCCTGTGCTTGTTTTCCCAAATAAATTATTGTTGAATTGAATACATATATATATATATATATATATATATATATATATATATATATATATATATATAAATATATATATATATATACAATAAAGAAATCTGACACCTAATTTCCATCTAAGTTCATTTTGACAAAGTCAATTTCCATCTAAGTTCATTTTGACAAAGTCATTATTTCCCTATATAAACATCAAAAAGCACTGATGATGATTCATTCGGAACCGAAATATGGCCTTATTTGCAGCATGAATTCGGAAAATAAGTTTATTTTGAATTTCAATAAATTAAACGTTCACCAAAAAACTTTAGTGAGAAAAATTGAAAAAACGAACTACAAACATATTAATGCCAAACATTCGGTAGAATTTATAGAATGTTGTAAAAATATGGTTGTATTACCAACATATAAATACATATATTTATATATGTCATTAAAAATGGTTGCCCAGCGTGCGTTTATAATCTTTTTTATTAAAACCTCAACACTTCTGAGTTTGTTGAATTCATATTTATTGAGAGGAAAATTATTATTGAGCTTGGCTGACAGTACTGTTTCGGAGTTAACCATCGTCGGAGCCTATTAGATCAAAAACACACAGTCAGAAATGCAAAATTTGAAATAAAATAATAGGTGAAATTTAATTAAATGAGCAGTTGAATTAATAAGTTAAATATTAATTAAGTTAAAATATGAGAGTAACCTTCGAATATTAATGACATTATATATATATGTAAGGAAATATAAATGAAATTACCTAGATAATAAAATAACGATAACTGAGAAACGAAATGAAATTATAAAATTGGAAAATAATATAGTGAAGTTAGTATTAAAAGCAGGTGGACGTATGTGAATGCAAAATATGATGTAATTATGGAAAACCGTTTGATGTGAGTAATTTTCCTCTCATTAAATATGAATTCAACAAACTAAGAAGTGTTGAGGTTTTAATAAAAAAGATTATAAACGCACGCTGGGCAACCATTTTTAATGACATTTGTATTAAAGAGAGCCTCGTTCCTAAATATATTTATATATATCGTTACATCGATATCGTTAGAAAAATCGAAAAACTAATCTACAAGTTGAATAATGCCGAAAACGCGGTGATTTTTATAAATAATTGTATATATACATATATAATTGTATAACTCAACTACAAGTTGAATAATGCCGAAAACGCAGTGATCTTTATAAATAATTGTATATATATACAATTATTATATATATATATACAATTATATATATATACATACAATTATATATATATATATATATATAATTATTTGTCAGGGTTTTAGCAACGACCGGGAAATTAACATGCAAAGGGTATGAATACATTGTGATAGTGGCGATAGACGAATGGCAATGAAGCAGGTAAAAATAGCAGCCAATCCGCGGGGTGTACAGAGTTGTTTAAATAAGTAGAACCGGAAAGTTTTGGAGGAGAAAAAAATATAGTTCGGTTGGGGTTGGCGAAAGCTGGTCGGTAGTAATTGGTGGTAAAATAAAAAACTCTCGAAGTTACGCTGGTAGCTCGTGCAGTTAGTGGAAGAAGTTACGTCGGTGGTTGGTACAGTTGGCGGAAGCAGTTACTTCGGTGGTTGGTACAGTTGGTGGAGGCAGTTACGTCGGTGGTTGGTACAGTCGGTAAAGCAGTCACGTTGGTGGTTATTAAATTCCATAGTAGTCACGGCAAACCTGATAACGAACGACACGCCAATTCAGCAAACGTGAGTTGACAACGCGTTCGACAATCTACCCGCCACTTCAGCAGGCGTAAAGCGACATTACGTTCTACAAACGACACGTCAGTTCAGCAACGTGAGTTGACAACACATTCAACAAGATACACACCGATTCAGCAAATGTGAATTGACAGTGTGCTCAACAAACGACACGGCATTTCAACAGCGGTGAAGTGACAACACGTCGGCAGTCAACGAGGCCTCCGCCAGAAGCTAGCTCCGAAGACAACGTGACAGCCGGTGTCCACATTCGCAGCCATCGCTACATTTCGGAAACGATTATAATACTTATTGTTGGGAACTGTTGTTGAACCCTTAAAAATTATTTATAAAGATCACTGCGTTTTCAGCACTATTCAACTTGTAGTTGAGTTTCTCAATTTTTTTAACGAGACTTTTATCATCTTGATGAAGTTTATTAAAGTTAAATAAAAAACTTTTAATATTTGACATTTTTGACAAAACATTATTACTACAGAAAAGCTCTTTTCGGCATCAACTGCCATCATCAGTGTAGTTATATAGTTGGTTCGTTGGTTATTATAAAAATAGTATGTCCTTATCATATAAAACAGATGAAAAAATAATGAAAAAGATAATAAACTTAATAAACTTCATCAAGATGCTAAAAGTCTCGTTAGAAAAATTGAGAAACTCAACTACAAGTTGAATAATGCCGAAAACGCAGTGATCTTTATAAATAACTATATATATATTGTATTTATGATAGTCTAAACCCAAATAATATATATATATATATATATATATATATATAAATAACGCAACAAGTGCTGTTCAACAACAATTTGTCAGACAGGCAGACGGTCGTTACCGGTGTGCCACAAGGTTCAGTTTTAGGGCCCTTATTATTTGTATTACACACAGCAGATATTCTTCAATTAATTGATTCATTTGGTTTCTACAGTCACGCTTATGCTGATGATATCCAAATCATAGTCAGTAGGCCAGCCAGTAAATTCCCAGTTATGCTGAACAAATTCATTGAATGTTTGACGAAAATAGATGTTTAGAGGTCTAGCAACCGTTTAAAGTTGAATCAATGTAAAACGCAATTGATGCCAATTGGGACATGGCAATAACCCTCAAGGATTAAAATTGATTCAGATATCATTAATGATCAGGAGATTAAATTCTCTTCCAAGGCTGTCAACTTGGGTTGCATCCTTGACCCACGGCTGGCAATGCATCATCACGTGAAATTCATTACAAATTCCTGCTTGAATCAGTTGCGCTTGTTGAGCATAGTTAAAAGATCGCTTCAAGAAGATCGCTTGATGAACTTGATCGTTTCGATACTGTTTTACGTGAGAAAATTAAAATTTTTAAAAACGAAATAAAAGAACATTTTCTAGCATTGTCAGCAAGGAAGTTAAATTGAATGTTGAAGTAATTAGAAGTGATGTCAAATCAATCCAGAAAATTTTACAAGAAGCTAGTGACGTTAAAGAAAGAGAAACAAATTTATTGATA